ACCTGCGACGGGCCCACCAAGAAGGGTGCGACGAACGCGCGGCGGACCCACAACGGGCCTACGACGGAAGCGCGAAGGGGACCCCGACGGACCCGCCACGAGCCCACTGCGGAGCCCACGACGGGCCTGCGACAGACCCACGACACAAAATTACGACGGACCCACAACGGGCCTACGTCGGACCTGCGACGGAACCACGACGGGCCACGACTGACCGGGCCATGACCAGGGTGCCACGACGGACCCACGACGGACCCACGACGGGCCACGACGGACGCACGACGGACCCACGACGGACCTGCGACGGGCCCACCAAGAAGGGTGCGACGAACGCGCGGCGGACCCACGACGGACCCGCGACGGGCCCACCAACAAGGGTGCTCCGACGGACCCACGACGAGCCTACGACGGAAGCGCGAAGGACCCACGACGGACCCACCACGAGCACTGCGGAGCCCACGACGGGCCTACGACAAACCCACGACACAAAATTACGACGGACCCACGACGGGCCTACGACGGACCCACGACGGGCCCACCATGACACAAAACCACGACGGAACCACGACGGGCCTACGACGGGCCATGCCACGACGGACCACAACGACAGGCCCATCACGGAGACCATAACGAGCATCGCACGACGGACGCGCGACGGACCCACGACGGACAACTCGAGGGTGGCAACGATGGCGGCGCGCCCCTAGTCGCTTCATCCACCCATCTACCGATCCAGTCATCCATCCATCTATCCATCTTACACTAAATGAACGTGTGCTTGAGGGCTCCACGCATGTCCTCCCATAGGTCCGGAACAAGCGACCTTGCGCAACTGACTCGTTCCAGACGTCCGCGTCACCGCGGAACGTTCCACACCAGAATATTGACCCACCCCCAATTTGCTCAGCCTTTGCTCATGTCTCATTTGTGCTTGGTTGTTTGTGCGCACTGCGCGCGTCGAGGGGGAATGCTTGTTTGTATAAGTTTGTATGCTTGTTTTTTTGTATCTTTCAATTGTTTGTGTATCTCTGCTCGTTTGTCTGTACGTCTGTGTGTGTGTTGTGTGTGCCGTACAGGTTGGGCAGGAAACCGATACTCACGAAGTGGCTTCCTACCTCAGCTGGCTTTCGATGCCATCCACTTGCGCCCACTACGTGTGGTCTGCGCCCATGGCTGATATGCTCTTGCAGGCTCGTGTTCTTACTGGTTCGATAGGCAGGGAATGAGGCACCCTTTTAACCACCCCCATGGTTTCCTCTGAGGGAATCTTGATAGGTTCATTCCAAAACAATGAGCAGGGCTTGGTGTGCACCAGGGCGGCAAGCCGCCGACGCGAGCATCCTTTTCCCTCTCTTTTTTTGCTCGGCGAGATGACTTCGGACGAATGCCCGGCTTGGATCACGGTGTGACGCTTCAAGTTGGTCGCTTCAAGTTGGACGCCCTCCGCAAGGCATCCTCCCGGCTTTGCCTGTGAAGTTCCTCCCAAGCAGCCCCCAAGATGTTTGAAGAACATGTGAGGCCTTTTGACATCCCCCAACGCAGGCTTAGTGGGAATTGTCCCAAGCCAAATCTTATGTCCCAAGACGAAAACCCCGGCTAAAACCCCGGCTATGAGGCAGGGAATCTTGTTTGCTTATCTCGTGGCGAGCTCACCGTGGTGAAGCAGGGAATCTTGTTTGCTTATCTCGTGGCGAGCTCACCGTGGAGGAGAGAACTATTCTTAGCTGCGCGCGGCTAAGGAAAAAAGGCGTACATAGCTAAGAGCACTTGTGTTCGCGGCTAAGTATTTGGAGTTTGTTCGCAGCTAAGAAATTGTTTGCTTCGGGAGTTCAAGTGTGATCACCCCATCTTGGGGGAACCTCGGGTGTACCCATCGTGTGGCCCCGGGCCGGTTCGCCGGAAAATTTGACCTCAACGTTCTTATCATAGTCCAGCGGAGTTTCACGTTTAAGCAGGAACGAGGTTTCACTAAAGGGAAGACAGCCACTCGATCATAGTTACGTTTCCCCTTCCTCGCTTTCGTCGTCCGCGTGTCCGTCGTCTGGCTCTTCGCCCGTTTAGGGATGGCTTCCTCTTCCTCCCGGTCTCTTCTTTCTGGTTTTCGCGACCCGCGTGTTTGTCGTCCTTCTCTTCGCCCGCTTAGGGATGGCCTGTTTGTCCTCGCAGCGTTCACCTTTCTCCTCGTCGTTGTCTTCTCCTGTGTCTACCTGTTCCTAAACCCTCGTTTTCCTCGCGCTGTTTGGCTTGCCGTCTTCTTCCCCTTCCGTCGCTAAACCGTGTTCGTCTTCTTGGCCCCTTTGCGGGATTCGACGCCCTCCTCTTCGAGCCTTGGCCTTCATCCTCTGTGTCTGCCTGGGCGGGATGCGACGCCCTAAAAACGCACACTACAACCTCTCTCCTCCCTTCCCCCCTCTCCTTTCCTCCCTCTTCCTTCTTTTCTTTTTTTGTCTCCTTGTCTTCTGCTTCTCTTTTCTTCGCTTTTCTTTTTCTCTCCTTTCTCCTCTCCCCGGGCGGGCTGCGGCGCCCTAAATACGCATCTCGCCCCCTTTGTCTTCTTTTCTCTCTTTCTTCTTCTTCTCTTTCCCTTTCTTTCCTTTCTCCTTTCCCCGGGTGGGCTGCGGCGCCCTAAATACGCATCTCACCCCCTTTCTCTTCTTTTTTCTCTTTCTCGCTCTCTCTCTTTCTCTCTTTCCTTCTTTTTCTCCTCCCTCTTTTCCTACTACTTCCTGTTGTTCCTCTTCGCCCGTTTAGGGATGGCGTGTTCGTGGTGTCGTTCTTCAACTTCGCGGTGCTCTTTTTCTACCAGGTTTAGGAGGGTTTCTGGGCTGTTTGGGGTTCTTTGCCCGCGGTGACCCTAAACTCGGGTTCCCTTGTTTTTCGTGTTTCTTGGTTGGGTTTTGCCCGCGGAGGCCCAACGTGGGGTCTTTCTGTTCTTTTGTTTTCCTGCTCGGTTTGTTTCTGTCGGGGTCTTCGCCCGGTTTCGGGGCGCGTGTTTCCCCCCCCCGAAAAAGTGATTCTCGCCCCTCTTTGAGCACGCCAACAAAGCTATGGAAGTTTGGCCGGAAGCGTTGAGGGACGCCTCAATGCGTACCTGCAAGTGATCTCTGAACGTCCTTTTGGTCCCCTCCCTCAACCGCCGTTGCTTCCTTGATTCCCTGTTCAAGTCACTAGAGTGAAGCCGAGTGTGAAGCGAGCCGAAACTATTACTCAAAGACCAACTCAGTACTTTGATGAGTACCCTCCTTCGGGAGTTCAAGTGTGTGTCTCTGTGTGTTTGTCTCTCTTGTTCTGTGTCTCTCTCTCTCTCTCTCTGCCTCTGCCTCTCTCTCTCTCTCTCTTTCTCTGTCTCTCTCTCTCTCTCTCTCTCTCTCTCTCTCTCTCTCTCGCGAACCCCTTTTTCGCTTATCACCCGTGGTTGGAATGGTGCCCTGATCCTCAACAACCGGATTTCCTTGGACGCAGAGTGGCTTCAACCAACCGCTTCAATTTGCTTACAGGGGGTGGAAGAAGTGCCCCAAACAGGTTTATGCAGCCGACGGAACGCCTACCACAGAGTTCATGGCACAAGCGTGATTGGGTCACTGAAGGGTTTCGTCGGATTGCGCTGAGGATGACCGCAGCCCATTTGGGCGCCAATGCCATGATCAGCATCGTAATGCTGCGACACAATCATCCACGGTGGAAGTTTGTCCTCAGCGGCATTTTTCTTTGATGACCTGACGCGCCTTCAGGATTACATTCAGAAGCAGCTTGATGCGGCGGCGCGTGACAACCAAGATACATCACATTCTCATCCTCCTTGCGCGGACATCAACCAGTCTGAGCCGTCTCTGAGTTCCACATCGGCGCCGGAAGTGATCACCCACCCGGCCGACAGTGCTCGCAACATCTTTTTTTTGATGCTGACACGGAGTGACTCATTGTGTACATGGCTGATAAAAAGGTCTTGTTTTCTGCACTTGGCTTGATCGGTGCTTGGTGTGCCTTGGTATCTCGCGTTGTTCTCTGCTCTTGGTTGCTTCAGCTGTTGAGACTGTGTCTCTGAGTCGTGGAAGTTGAACGTGATGAATCTGTTCGTGATCATCATCTCGGCCGTACCGTTTCTGCCCAGCAACACATATAGGGTGTGGGAACCTGTGCTGCCTGAAGGCGATGCACTACCGGGCCCTGATGGAGAACATCAACCAGATGCCTGGACACAACGGAAATTACCCATGAGGCTTGGGCCATCCAGGATTGGCATTGTCAAGGTTTCCAAAGCATTCTTACTCGCGGAGTCCTTTGCTCTCCACACGCACCAGATCGGCACCCAGGACATCACGGACAGGGATGACCCCGTCACCTCAGTGCACAACGCTATTCACACCGCGGCGATCCTTGTGATGTTTGTGCGGGTCAGGGTTCCTCCCGATCACCACGCCGCTCAGGACCTCTTGGTCGACATTAGGATCACTGTCAGGGCGTCTTCCGTGAAAAAAGAGTCTCCCGTTTTTCATTGAGGGGCATGTGTGTGTGTGTGGAGTGTCAGATTCGTGACTATGTTTTTCAGCAGGGCAGCGGCCCACTCGTGAGCCCACTGCCAACGAAGCTACTCGTGAGTTGGGAGGATATCCGGACTGATCATCCGGACGTACCTGCGTGGCGTTGCAAGCGTGTGTGATTTGTTTTGCTGTTGATTTGTTGACTCCGGTTGTGATGCGTTGCCGCTTTATGCTTTTCGTCTGCCAAATGAAGCCATCGGTCTCGCCGCTCGAAAACTCGAAACTTACAGGTTGCGCTCGAAAGATGAGATCCCTCTTTCGGGGGTTGAAGAGTGTGTGTGTGTGTGTGTGGGTGGGTGCGGGCGTCCGTCCGTCTGTCCGCGCGCGCGCGCGCACGAGCACGCGGTGGCCCACGCGCGTGTGACCTGGATCACAGTTTTGCTTGATCGCAGACGCAGAGGGTTTCTTGAGCCCGTTTCGCGGGAGCATTCAATGCGGGGATTGCCTTCGCAGCCGGAGGTGAACGAAGCAATTCGGAGCAAGGCAGAAGCCATCGCCAATATCGGTCCAGAAGCAACCGTTCTGTCGGGCACCAAGGGGGCACGCCTCAAAATCTGACTGGCTGCCAAATCAGCCCACTTGCATGGTTGCGAGTCGCGAGTGTCAATTTGTCAATTTATCCCATGCGGCTGTGCGACTACCAGGTTGGGCGATGATTGCCTGCCAGCTATTCCTGAGCTGATGAACGTTTTGGCTTGGGGCTAACTCGGAGCGCGAAAGAGTGCGAGAATGACTGATTGGTCTGACTTGAGAGCTCGGCAAAGGAAGCTGCCCCTCTCCAAGCGGCTATGAAGGCAGCGCCCTGCCTCACTGTACTTTGCAACTAGGAGGTATTGTTCACAGGAACATTTCGGCACGCCAACCAGCGAACGCACGAAAGTACGCACCAAAGATGATCGACAGTTTGCCGTTCTCCTTGGCTCTTCAAGACCCTGTGCTCAGTCAAGTTGTATGTACGCACTGTCAATGCATTTGTGACTACAGAATTCGCAACATGTGTGGCTAGTTGCCACAATTCAACCCGTTCCAACTCAGCAGCAATGATTGCCTCATGAGAAGAGGAATGAGTTTGAGAGACGGCGCGCAGTAGGCTTATAGGGTTGGCAACGCACGCCAGTGCCTGTGATTATGCGCGCAAAGCGTCCTTCGAGTAAAACAAGTTATCCTCTGCGCAACATGTTCTGATATGAGGTTCTGGGCGAAGACTATTTGCTTCATGGCCATCGCCACCTGCACCTCAGTTCTTTGCAGGAGCAAATGTGGCACAAGGCTGGGACGCACGCCTTGCTGCTGCTTGAGAAAGCGCAACAACCCCCACGACCGGCGTCCAAGGACTCGTACTGGGGCTTTCGCCGCATGCGACATCATCGACCTCGTGCCCGGAATGCAAACGCATTCAATATGGCACTCAGTATGATTGAATTCTTGACAGCCACCTGCCCTTGATGATACGGGCTGTCGCCTCATTGCAAAGAGCTGACTGTCTCACTCATCCGCACTTAGGTTGGTGCATGATGCTCTACTACCCGCAAGAGACAACACTGGAAATGGGTCCAACACATGTCCTTGCAGGCCTGGGGCTCGCACAGGCTCTCAAGGGAGTTGGAGAAGGAGCTTGGAGCTTGCCAAGCTTTGGCCCAGAAGTGTTCACATCTGCATGTGTTTGCCAAACTCAGCTAAACGCAGCTAACCTCCTTTTCTTAAGCTTGCAAAAACAGGGCGTCTCTTGTGAAGCCTGATTTGTGCTCTTCGCAATATTCGCATGAAAACGCAGCACCAACCCTGCCGAGTGAGGCACTCAGTACTGGACCGTGGACACCGAGGGCTGGAGGCAAGGTGAGGATATCCTGGCAGATTCCACCGGAGATGCAGAGTGGCAGCAAGAAATGTAGGAAGACTCAGCCCATAGCAACCATAC